GAAAGAGACCTTCCATTAAAAATAAGAAGAGAAACTATCACACTTGAACGGTTTCCCTTTAAAAGGCAAAAAAATCGCAGGCTTTCCAATAATTTGCTAATTTGTGAAATTTTACATCAACTGGCAACCTGGTCTGGTTTCCAAGACCAATAGCACTTATTATCATATAAATTAATCGATTATTGGTTTAGTAAATAGTTAAGTGGATAAATAGTTCAAGCAAAGAAGCTAAAGGTTCCTCACAGAAGACCTCTTAGGCTTCAGTTGCAGGATCTAAACTACAATTAAAAGGGCAAAATATCGGAGGACAATTGTTTTGAAAACGAATTTTTTAAAAATACAGTTAAAGACGGTTTATTTAGGAAGTCAGGGAGCAGTAAGACTTTTTCAGTCTATGCTCCCGTCCAGGACAGATGCCGCTGGTTCGGTTTACAGGTCCTTTGAATCTGAACATCTGCCCTGCACAGGGAGGCAGCGGAAGGACAATTAAAATCTAATCCCTCCGAAAAGGAGACGTTTTGAAACGGGCAAGACGTATATTTTATGTATGTTTTAAAGCTCAGCTGTTACTCGGGAGAACACTACATACACCTTTCATCAGCCTTCACCACTGGGACTACTACTGATTTTTGCACCATTTCCAAATTATTCAGCAATTAGTTAAAACAATAATAACCGGCAATTTTGTTCCCGAGGTGCGTTGACCAGTTAGAGATGCGCCTTTTCTCCCTGCCATTTTCAGAGCAAACCTCTCAATTTCGTCGCTGTTGTTACTCTGTCTTTAGGCGCAAAACACCCGCAGCCTCATCCTCCCGGGGCGGCCGCCGCCTCCCCCGCAGCTCCCGGTGCCGGAAGGTCCCCAGTGCGGCCCGAGCCCCCACCAGCGCCGCGCTGCCCCTCGGTGTCCCCCCCCGGGCGGGACGGCGGAGCCCGGCGCAGTCGGGGGCGCAGAGGCGCAGCCCCAAACAAACCGCAGCAAACTTGGCCTTTACCTAACGCCCTCTCCGGGAGCGGGGGGGTGTGCGGAAACAAACACCAAAAAAACGTTGAAGGCAAATCTGCGACCTATGGGACACATCTGAACTTCGTAGATTAAGAAAGAAAACGTGCTGGAACCGGCGGAGGCGACCCTGAAGCAGCACAAGGGAAGAGGCGAACGAGTTCGGTCTGCAGGGTCGGATGGGGCGGCTGAGCCCCCAGCTCGGGGAATGCGGGCCTGAAGCAAACCCCACCTCTGCCTTGAATTCTTCTAATAAAATCAAGATCTTAAGAATTTTCTTTTGTCCAACCACTTTTTCCTGTTACGCACAAGGAGCAGTGCTGGGAGCCCCAGTGAGCACAGCCGGTCTGGTGGGACAAACAAGAACGAGGGAAAGCGGGGGAAGCAGGGACGGGGAAGGGGGGAAGCAGGGACGGTGGGGGCAGGAGGCTGCTCCAATTCCCTTGCCTGCAAAACTACAGTGCTGTGGTGGCGGGGAGGTTAAACGAGGAAACACATCAGAAAGTTTGCAGCTCAATGAGAGATCTCGCCCGGGAGACAGAGTTTCTGCAGAGGCCGGAGGCTTGTGCCTGCTGCCAGGTTGGCTCCCTTCCTTCTGCTGCTGCCGTCGGTTAAGGGGCAGCGAGGGGTTACAGAGGGGATGCGGAGAGTTTCCTGACTCTTCTCCGAGTCACATCTGACCACCAAAACTCCAGCTGAACTCGTGGCTGTACGGGCAGACCTGAGGCTGCCCACAGCCACCTGCTGCCTGCAGCCCTGCCTGGGCTCCGTGGGCACCCCCGGCCCGTCCTTGGGAAAGAGCTGCTTTCTAACTTCTTTCCTCTCTCTCTCCTTCAAAAACTCTGAGGTGCAAAAGCTCAGGACAAGGGCAGAATAATTCACCCATCAGCAGCCTTTGAGTGTAGCTACTAAAGAAAATTCACAGCTCTCTGAAGTGCTAACTTACAATCTCTGGTTTCCAGATTTTATTTCAGGCTACGCTCCCCCTTCTCCCCCTCCTTAACCAGATGACCTTGCTTCAAAACATTTTATTTCCAGCTGAAGTGAAAAATGCTAACATATTAGCTTCTGTAATTGCAGTTTGACAGCACTTGATCTCAATAATTATGCTGCAGCTAAACTATTATTAACGGTTTAAGCTAAAATAAACAGAAATCCCCCTTTGGAAGCGAACAGAAACAAACCGTTTGAATCATTCTGGAGGGAGATGGGGATCTCTTACCTGCGTTGTAGGCGGCCAGATCCGCCCCAGGTCCTGGGCTCTTCCTTTTCCTGGGTCTCCCCTTCTGGACAGTCCCCACGCCGTTGTAATAAGGCAGTCCCAAAGTATTGGCAGAGCCCGCTCCCAATGCCGGGCCCTTCCCAGCGGCTACATCCGAGTGATTGAAATGCACCTGGTACTCCCCCTGGATGAGAGTCTCGAAATGGAGGCGGCAGTACACCAGATTGTCCTTCATGCCAAAGTGATCGCCGGTGGTCAGCATCTTGTTGCAAGTGGTGCAAGTGAAGCAGTTTAAGTGATATACCAAATCCCTGGCCCTCATGACCATCTCGGAGGCAGAAATCCCCAGGTGACATCTCGCACATCTCTGCACCGAAAACCTCCTGCAAAACAGAACGGCCAGAGGCGACGGTGAGAGGCGCATCCCCCCCGCCCGCCGCCCCCCTTCGCCGGGTCCGCCTGGGGGGCGGCAGAGGGAGAGGAGCTGGGGGGCCCGGGCCGTTC